ATGGAAGTAGCAGTCAAAATATCAAAGGACACATTGTACCGGGTAAATCTGCTGCACAAGGTTTCTTTAAAGTGTTGAAGAGCAAGGATGTTACTATGGAGACTAGGGTACACCACACCCAAACCATGGTATTTTCAATCACTTCATATGCATGTGAAAGTTGGACATTGGAGAAGAAAGATTGAAGAAGAATTAATGTGTTTATATTATGGTCCTGGCAAAAAATAATGAAAAAGGGAAAACAAATTTCTCCTAGAACAAGTGCAGGCAGGATGTGCCTCAGAGGCGGGAATGCCGAGACTGCATCTCACATCCTTGGGGCGTGTTATCAGAAGAGATCAGCCCCTGGAAGAGAACATGATGCTTGGTAAAATAGAAGGGCAGCAAAAAAGAGGGAGACCCTTGACAAGATGGATGGACACACTGGCTGGAACCGTGGGCTCCAACAGAAGAACAGGCGTGAGGGTGCTGCAGGATGTCGGTGCTTTGGTCTGTTGTAGGTAGGGGCCCTATAGTTGGAATGGACTTGGTGGACAACACTGTATCATTGGGTTAGATCTTAGAATAGGGGGTCTTTAATAAAATACCATTTAATAATTATTTATTGAGGGTTGAGACCATCAATACACCTCTCATTTAGTTCACATGACCAAACTTCCCTTGGGTCCTAATGATCTTATAGGACACCATAGAATGGCTCCTTTATGAGACTAAATCTTTACAATAGACAACCTCATCTTTCTCTTGAGGACCCACTCTTTTTTTTAAAAATCATTTTATTGAGGGCTCGTACAACTCTTATCACAATCCATCCATCCATTGCATCAAGCACATTTGTACATATGTTGCCCTCATCATTCTCAAAACATTTGCTTTCTACTTGAGCCCTTGGTATCAACTCATTTTGTCCCTCCCTCCCCACCCCGCCTCTTGGATACAAACCACTGACCTTGTGGTTAGCAGGTCAATGTATAATCCATTACACCACCAGAGCTGCTCATTCCACAACAACCCCTTGGATATAAAGAATGACTGTGTTCGTACAAGTGAGGACCCACTTAAAGATGTAAAATGATATTCCTAAAGTGGGAGGAACAGGAGTAGAGCCAGAGTTTCCAATTCAGGTGTGTGTGATTCCAAAGTCCTACTCCAAGAGACAAGAAGGGACGTGTGCGCGTGCGTGTGTGTGTGTGTGTGTGTGTGTGTGTGTGTGTGTGTGTGAGAGAGAGAGAGAGAGAGGAAGAAGAAGGAGGAGGAGGAGGGAGAGGGAGAAGGAGAAGAAGAGGGAGAGACCTCGGAGAGAGATGTTTTGGATGATAGACCTGTCACAGACTCAGGAGGGGACACAGGAGAGGCGTGAGCCCTGGAGTGTTAGGGGTTTTCCTTTTCTCTGAAATGGGTCCTGCTCTTCTGATGTTTGGATGTAGCTTTCCTTACACGGAGGGTGGAGGTCGGTAGGGCGGTAGTTCTTCTGGTCTTGTTTCTTGGACATTGGATAATTCAGAGCTCAACCCAGACTCCAAAAGGGACTTTAAGATCATGTTGAATAAGACCTCCTGGGAAGGGCTGGAAATTCACACCCAAGTGCAACTCAGTGGAAAACGGATGGAAGCCAGTTGTTCTGATTCCATTTTCAGTGGTTTATCTGCATTTAAAGAGAACTGCAAGCAGTTAATAGAAGGGA